GATAGTTTTAAATAATTATTTTGTTTTATTTAAACACGTGTTTAAACTTATCTATTATATTTGTTATCTATGATACCTATTAATATAATATCATTAGTAATTATCACGAATAATTATGCATTAACGTTAGTTGTTGGTTAGCCATCGAAGATTCAGTTCAGCGGTTATATTAAATTATTTACTGCATAACATTGGTAACACAAAAAATTTGAATTAAAGTATTTCATATATACGTAAATGTTTGATTAATTACTTGGAAAAAAATTCAGTAATGAAAATATTTTTAAGTATTCATATCGATAATGGTCAGATCAACCAGAGTGAAGGACTAGCCGAGGGCGGATGAGAGGTATGTATATGTATTATATCATTACAAATATTTTTCCATCAAGTCTCAACTTTTTTTCCCCTACTTATTCAATTTTATTAAACAATAATGCATTTTATACAATAATTTACTTGATAATTAGTAATTTCGTTTAGTGACCCTCCTGAATTTGGTGATTTAAGTTAAAGAGGACTCATAATCTTACCCTGAATAAAAAAGACTTTGTTATCCTCTATATCTACGTAGAAAAATAACAAGATTCAACATAAAAAAAATTATATAATGATTATTCATATGATTGTAATTAACTGTCAAAGTTCATGATAGCCACTCTTGGCTTTGTTGAGATAGTATTAAAAGCTGTGTTACTGTAAATATTTGTAATCGCATATTTCCATGACAAATAATATTTGTATTAGAAAAAATATCAATGTTACACGTTTTTGTGAAATATTTCATACTTCAAATACTATAGGTAATAGATATACAGTGTAATTAATTTTAAAGGTAACACAAAATAATTCTGTCCAGATTAAAGTAGGATGTTTTTTAAACATATTGGGACTATTTTAACACATATTTTTTTTGCAATTTTTAAACTGTTAACCCTTTTAATGTGCATATGTACAATGCAAATTGAATTTTTTTTTAATACCAACATCTACTATCAACAATAGATTTGGATAGACCAACATTTTTCAAGTCAATTTGGTCGTTTTTACCAAAGCTCTAAAACCAAAATTGAATAAATGACAAGTTAAAGTTTTGATTAAAATAATTTAATTTTTCAGTTATCATTCTGGAATTTATGGATTATTATGGAATTTTGCGAATTTCGTTTTGTATTTGTAGGTTTACAAACAGTTAAATTTAATTTTGAGGAATTAATTAACTTCAATTACACCTTTGACAAAGTTAATCAGTTAATTCACTCTATAATATGAAATATATACAATATACATATTAAGTTAAATTAATCTTGGTACCTTCAGTTTTCTTTCATATGTAATACACATTATTAAGCCTTATTCTAGTACATACATAAATAACAAGATTTAATTATTAAAATATAATAATTTATTTTCCTCTGGTGATAAAGTACACTTTATACAGTTAATTATATAAAACAATACATCTACAATTATTACATTAATAAAAAAAATTATTATTGCTAAAAAAATAGTCAAATTTAGATTTTGTATTAAATTACATTTTTTTTGAACTTAATGAAAAAAAAAAAAATATTGAATATATAATATTTATATATATATTATAATAACATAATTTATACATTGTAACAATAAGAACTCATTGGCCAAATGTATTTTAATATCAGTGCTTATCATTTAAAACAATGTGGAATGAATGCATTTTTTAAAAATTTAAAAAATGACATGCATTATTATATATATATTTACTACAATTACATCAAATAAATTTAACTGAACAATAACACAAATTCAACACTAAAAACATTGAAATATTATCTAATATTTATATTGTTGTACTATAAGTCTTATAATTATTTCATAAATATATTAAAATTAATTTTCCTGATTATAAGTCAATTTTAAAATATTTAAAGCAGTAATATAATAAGTTTTTTGAATAAATATAAAAATTTTAATAGTGTTTTTCAATACAATAATAGTGGCATACTTATAATATAAATATGGTCTAATATTTTTTTCTGCTGTGATCAAAGATACAATTATTTTTACTAAATTATTATTGAAGCATTATTAACATATTGGTAAAGTTACATGTTATATGAGTAATATAAAACTAAAATTATTTATAGATAAAATGTTGATAAATATTTCAGCAGATTGAGTGTTGAATGTGAAAAAAAGTCGGTAATCAAATACAAAAACAGTGAATTTTTTTACTTTGAACTATATTGAAATCACCTTGAAATAACAATTAAACTCAAAATAATTTTACTTTTAATAACTCAAATTATAAATAACCGTTTTTTCTTAACTAATGTACAAAACATTTTTCATAAACAAAATTTATAGTATGGAAAGAGCAAAAAGGCTATACAAACTTCAAAAAACATTGATATATTTTATTGAAACCACTACACATACACAACACATAACATATTTTTTGAATTATCTATTTTTGAGAATATTGTTGAAGATAAATGCAATAACAAACAAACTTTAATGACAGGGTTCCTTTTTAAAAATATTTAATTAATTTAACACTGTAGTTAAATATGTATTATTATTTTAAGTATTCAATCTTTGTGATATTAACTATTCAATTTTTTTTAATAAATTCAACATCTTGAATTTTTCACTGTTCCCCTTTAAATTTTATATGAAAAAAGTTTACTGAAGTATTTAAAATTAAATCATAAATTTGCCACTATTTTTATGTCAATAAATAGAAAATAATTTTAAAAAAGGTGATGCCTCTAGTTTATTTTTCTAGATATTTACTATGATTTTTATCAGTTATTAGAATGCTCAGAAACAATTAATCAAAGTGTAGTTAAATTATTATTAAGGTTGATTAAATTAATTAAAATCTTATTGGACATTAACACAAGATTAAAGTTAATTTTTCAAAATTTTATATTTTGATTTTTTACTTTTATTATTTTATTTTGACATCCTTAAAAAATTGCCATTGTCAGAATCAGTAACCGCCACTACCCATATAAAAAATTAACTATTTACTTTAAATACATTTGAATTTGTTTATTAAAAATGTTAAAATAATACATTAACATTTTCAACTTAGTACCTAGTTAAATATTATACACATTTATTACCATAAATCCAGTTTCTTGACTACCTTTTAATTGCTGCTTTGAATTTGAGTTATAATAATATTTATTAAATTAATTAAATATATGGACAGTATAAGCCAAACAGTATAGAAATAATATAATCATATACAATAGTTAGTTCTAGTTATGTAATCTTAAAAACTGATTTGAAATCATTTTGTTTTATATATTTATACATATTAAATAAGCATTTTCCTCTCAAGTAATTTCAATGGATTGTCAAAAAACGTTTTAAGAATAATATAAACAAATATGTATTTAATATTTATAAAATAAATGTAAAAGAATATTTTAAAATATTATTATACAAATTATTATTATCTATTTAAATGTTATCTATCAAAGATAATTTCTTAAAATGTTATTGCCTTAATTACTATTAATAATTATTTTACTCGATTCATTAACATGTTAGGACACTGAACCATAAATGAATATAAATAAATTGCTTTGAGAATACATAATATACTCAAATTGGAACAATACTTACAGGTACAGCAGTTTTTTATTTTTATCTTATAAAATATATAAAAAAAAAACTGCTGTAACTGCTGTATTATATATTATGTAATATTAATTAAGTAAATTTGAAATAATTAGTTATACCAGTTTTATATGTATTCACCTTAAAAAGTTCATAAATTAACATTTTTAAGAGTAATAATATTATAAGTTTAAAATAATAAGATTTTACCTCTTGTCAAAATAATTTTACCCTTAACTATTAATAACAGTTGTTCCCAAACATAATTGGTTCTAGACACTAATCAATAATGATAGATAACGAATGCAATTACTCAAATCAAATACATCAAATTAATCAAACAAATAATTTACAAAACTATTTTGTTATGCAGAATCAATACATCCAGAATTATAATTGAAAAATAATACCACTATTAAATGCATTAACCATTTATTCACCCATCTACATCCACCACTATTAATAACACTAAAACTTTTTTTTGCTTGAATGAATAATTAACCTGATCCTAATTGTATATATATAACCATTCTTATTTTGTTTTTTCCTTCATAACTCAATTTCGATAATACAGAATAATGGAAAACTCCTAGATTTAATTCAACTCATTTAACTTTTTAAAGAATTTAAATTTACTTCATAAGTTTGATTCTTAATTTAAATATGTATATAAGTATATTAAGTATATATATATAGAAAATTATTGATTATCTACAATAACTAGAACTAAGAGAAATTTAGGTAAATGATTTATTATATTAAGTACTGAGCTTCAGTTGAAGTAATTTAAATATTAAGTGAAGAAATAAATTAATACACTTATCATAATAGTGTTTGTGATGTATAGTTAGAAACTACTAACCAATCATTTTATTAATTATGATTATGATTTTTTTTTAAAAATATATGGCAACACCTTTTAAAAATATTATGTAAAAAATAAATTATAACAATTTTTAGAATTTTACAGTAAATGGTGCAAAATTTAAATTTTTTTAAAAATAATTGATTTCATAAAAAAAAAATTAATAAGATGTTATTAAATAATATATTAACTTAAAATTAATTTTGTCATATATCAGTCATTCTTATTCATTTAAAAATATAATAAGGAAAACTGATTTATTTTGTACCAATTATTGTATGAAAAAAAATTTAAAAACAATTCATTTTAATGACAAATTAATTTTTTATAGTAGTGAACATTCATTGTAAAATGTTTCTTAATAATATTAAAAGAACAGTACACAAAAAATATCTAAAATATATTTCTTGTTAATTATGTGAATCTTGAAATAAAAACTATTAATGTACACATCAGAAAATACAATTTCATTAAAATAGAAATTAAATTAAATTAAATTAAATCAAAAAAAGTTTTTAAGTTTCAGACCTCCAAATAATTATGTACTCGTATAATAAAGAATACTTCAAGTATTTAAGTGCACTAGAATCGTAAGAAGAATTGTCAATTGAGCACTTAAAATCTAATATTTACTATCCATAAAAATAAATTATTTATCTGTCAACAAATTTAACTTTACAACAAATGTATGTACAACATAAATTACAATAAGGTACCTGTTTAAACTAAGAAATCTGGATCACTATATACATTGTCACTATCTTCAGAACTTCCACCACCTTTTGTTTTCTTCCGCTTATGATGATGTTTTTTAGGACGATCAGCTTTTTTAGATTTGTGTGATCGATGATGATGTTGTGAATGCTTTGATGATGGAGGTTTTGGAGGTATAATAGTCAATTTAGGAACCTTAGGTGTCGATTGCATATTATTCTAATAAACATAAATTATACCATTAATTTCAATCATTATAGAATGAAAATTTGAAAATTAATATTTTAACTAAATATTTCAATTCTCAATTCATACATAGAACATTAAATTAATACTATTTAATATATTAATATTAAATAAAAGATAATTTAAATTCTATAAATGTTGATGTTGAGTATTATTTTTTAGAAGCATTAACATCTCCTAATTTTATTCAAAAATAACTTTAAGATTTTTTATAAAATATTAAATATGCAATTTTACTTGTTTTTGATAATCAGATGATTCAGTAGACACATTTGAGGAATCTATATGATTAGGAGTCGTTGCTGTTTGAGAAGTATTTGTAATATGATTAGTTGGTGTTGTAGGAATGGTCTTCGATGCTCTAGGAGTCTTCATTTCATCTTCATTTCCTTCATCATCCGGATCAAGATTAATAATCAAATGTTTCAACTAAAATAATAATATATAATAGTTAGTTTACAATAAAACTTATATTTGTAATAATATACCTCTAAATAATAAGCAATCAATTCTTGTTTGGCTTTGAGTAAATCCTCAGTATTGATTTCTAATCCATATTTTAATTTCTCTATAGTACCCTTTGGATTAAATTTTGTATTTGATTTTCTACTTAAATTTTTGTCATACATTTTACTAGATTCTGATGGAGAATATTGAGTAATTTTTCTGCAATGTAATTTAAGTTTGAAATAAAAATTTAATTCATTAAATAATAATAATAATAATAATATATAATAATTAATATATATATGGCTTAAATGAAACTAACAAATCTGTTATTCCATAAACTGTTTTCAGGTACAGTTTGAGAACCAAAAGTAAAAGGCAGCCTTGAGACTTTATAAGAACCTCTTGTAGATTTTTTATATCATCAGGTACTCTGTCTACAAGTGTCCCTTCATCTTCATCATCTTCATCTTCAACAGTACCATCTACTTTATTAGTATGTGCTGGGGCATTAGGATTAGGAAGAAGACCCTGAGAACATAATATCATTTATAGCTAAGTTTTCATAAATAAGAGTTGAAGTTGGTAAAAAAAATATATAGAATATGATAAATATGACATATGTTATACACCAATGATAGTTACATTATAGATAAAACAGAAATGTCTTTTATCATTGAATGTATTATTATGTAGGTTATTACATGTCTATTATTTAATTATATCATTTTAAGAAGATTAGACAATCAACTGCACATTCATATTATAGTACACTAACCTCTCTAAAGTTTTGAAGTAAATTAGTTCCATTAACTGATATCATCGTATTTATGTGATGTATAATAAATAACGGTTCATCTTGTGATTGAAATGGAAAATATGCAAGATTATCAGCTAAGTATAACATTTGGGCTAAATTTGTTTTCTATAAAAAATTAATACATAGATTAATAAACAAAAAACTTTGAATTCATATATAAACTATGCAACTGTGCACTTACTCCTTGATCTTCAAACTGTTTTAAAATTGATAACACCAAAGCTCTACGTTGTTGTTTAGTTCTTAGTATAGAATATAGACATCCATTCAAAGCACTTGGAATCGTATCATTTTCTTTAATACGATATCCACGAACCATTTCACCATCAGGTTGTACAATGCTTTGTAACTGAAATGACAGTTTAATGCCCTTTTGTGCACCCATATGTATAAAACCCGGATATTTTTTCTCAATTTCTTGTAAATGCTTATCAGCTCGACTGCTTACTGATTTCTCAGTATCAGTACTCATACATATTAAATAAGGCACAATCTACGAATAAAAAATATATATTTTAAATTTACAATTATAGTTTCAAATTAACAGTTGTTTTACCTGAACAGGGTGCACAAGCCCTTGGGCTAAAATTAATTGTATTACTTTAAGTACAGCTTGCCGAACTTGAACACTAGTATGTAAAAATGAATTTAATATGCCTTTTAAATATAACTGAATAACTGTACTAGCCATTCCAGAAGAAACATCACCCATTTCTTTCAAGTTTTCTTTTTTAGACATCTTAGACCCTGGAAATATTTAAAAACAATAATATTATAAATTATCTTATTATATGAAACAGAAAACATATAACTCTTACATTCCAAATCTTGTTTAATCATTCTCTTTTCTTCTTCTTCTAAGTACACTTCAATGTTATTCAAAATCTATAACAATATTTTTTAATCAATAAAACATAAAGATAATAATTAATATATATTCTAATATTTAAAATGATTAGACATGTGATAATTATTGCGTACTTGAGACTTCATTATATCTAGTATATTGTTATTGGACAAAATATCAAGATACGTATTCATTAAATCTTGACACAACATAAAATCATAATGTCGAATGCATATTGATCCAATTGCTTTTAATGCAAATAATTTAGTATCATCTTCATTCGCACGCATAAAGTATGACATAATATCATACACTAAATCTCTAATGTTTTCCTATTGAAAGACAAAATTATGTAAAAAATATAATAGTTTTTATACAAATTAATGCTTACTGGATATGTATCACCATAAACATCTTTATCAGTAAAATCGAAAAATCTCAACATTAATCCAATAATATAAATTGAACGGCGAAAAATCGGGCGTAATGGTATTAAAGCTTGAGGATTGGTCTGATTATCTTGATGTAACTTTTGAAAGTTAGTCAAATATTCTAAAATAAATAAAATGTTTTACTTTGAAGTATTCAAGTGCATAAACTATTCCTTGCTATAAATAAATAAATTGAAGCAAATTAATTTAAATAAAAATGATTATAATTTACTCGCAATAAAAATATGTTTTGATAGTAAGATTAAATGAAAAAATAAGAAATAAAATAAAAATGTATAAACAATAATTTTTAAAATAATATAAAAATAAATAATACTTTTCACAGAAAAAATATTATTAACATATAAAAATGCAATATTTACTAAATTAAACAAACATAAAAAAATTCACTATATATTCATATAGTCTTTAACAAGAACAAGACCACAAGTTATCAACTAACACAGGATTTACTAATACATAATGAATTATTTTTAATTTAATTAATTTAGCATAAATTGTTAAAATTTAAAAATTAATTTTTCCAACAACCATTTAAAACTTTAGTGAGTTATGTTTACATTTAATAAAAATAAATGCAGTGCCTAAAATCAAAATTTTAAATTATCCAAGTATTTAAGACATTCCTAAGCCTTCTCCTACTCAAATTTATATAAAAAAATAAATATTTAATGCTATAAAACAGATTTTATGCATTTTTTCTAAAAAATATTTTATATCAATTAAATTTAATATTTATTATATAACTTACTGTAATATATTCCAAAACAATCCCTGATTAGCTTGAAATTTTTTGTTACATTATTCACAACAGATCCCAAACAAGAAATACAACTCAAAATTACAGTTTGATCGTGTTTCATAATGAGTTTGACAGCATCTTCTTCAAGCTGCGATAGAAATATCTCACTTGGATGTTCTATCAAAGGGACAACAAGCTCAAGCGTCCGCGCAACACAGCTTATGATTTGATAATCCCCTTGTGTCTAACATACAAATTATAATAAATATAGGATCAATTTATTATGAAAAATTTTAAATAAATTCAAAATTATTTACCTGACATTTTAAACTTAAATATGGTTGAAGAGTTAAAGAATGAGCAGCTAATAACTGTGGCCGTATTTTAGCAAACAAATATAATGTAGTAAGGCAAGCAACAAGCTGTTGTGATGTACCTCCACCTCCACCATCCAGTGTCACAACATTTTCAACTAAACAGTCCACAATTTGTTTACAAGCTGTAAGTAGGGCTTTAGGAGGTTCCGTAGCTACTTTAGCTGTGTCATCTTTATCTTCTTTGGGTTTAAACAAACTCAATAATAGTTGTTCAAACCATTCTAAACCCAATTCTTTTGATGCTGCTACAACATCAGTTATATTTAATACTTTCCTTAATAACATTTTGGAATCAAGAGTGGGTTTTTCGCGTACTGGCGTAAACCACATATTTTGAAACACTTCCATAACTAATTTTTTAATACCATCTTCATCATTTACACGACGTATCATCTTAACACATATTTCTGGTATTTTTGGATAATCAGGACACTCAATACATATATCTTTCATTATTTTTATAACTCGTTTTCGTACACTGACACCCGTATCCAAAATTCGAGTTGACAACATGTCATAATATTTATCAATTAATTCTGGACGACTTAAAACAAATTTCCCAACTAAATCAACAGCAGCTTCTCTAACAGATGTTGAATGATCTAGGAAAGAATGACTTACACCCAACTGCATTTCTTTTAATCCTAAAACACCAGGATCAACTTCAACAATCATTGTTAAACATTTCATTGCTTTTGTTCTTATATTGACTGACGTTTCCATCAAAACTTTGATTATCTAAAATTATATATTCAATTAGAAAATTATGAATAGGTTTTAAATATGGAGTTTTCTTACATGCTTTAAATATGTATCAAAACTCTGGGAAAAAGGTCTTTTAGAAGCTAAATATCTTGCTACTAGTTCAGCACTATCATAGTCAATGTATGTTTGCATAACTTGTGTAGCTTGATCATCATAAGGATTAATTTTAGTTAGTAAATATTCCTTTCTTTGTTCACATAATCTTGTAATTTCACTAGCTCTACTTGCATCTATTCGAGATTCATTTTCTTTACTTGAATCACTACTCTCACCATCGTCTTCATCATCTGAACCTTAAAGAGTTTCAAATATTATAAAATTAAATATATATAAACTAAGTAATGAAAATAATACAAACCATATTTTTTACGAGAATTTTTTTCTTTTTTTCTTTTTGATAAGGAATCAGATGATTTTCCTGCATCAGTATTATCTTGATACCATTGAGCTAAATAGAAATGACGTGCATGTCTTAGAGCAGGTTCAGAAAGACTTCTTATTGCTAAATAGTCTAAAAGAACCCTTTGCAAAAATTGTGTTCTTTCTTCGTCATCTTTAACTTCTTGTACCTCTTCCTGCAAATTATAATTTAATAGTATACAATTTAATAATATAAATAATATAAATTTTATTTATAAATGCAAACCATTAAATTTCCATCTTCATCTTTAAGCTCTTCAGTTCGTATGTCTAAAATTATAGAATCAATGGTACCTAATTTTAACTGAGATGTAACAGAATCTTTCCTCAGTCTAGCTGCTACAACACCAAGATAGTCTAAAGAGGCTACTCTTAAAGACATATCTAAATTTTTGTTGACAAAATTGGCTACCAATAATCTTCCCAGCACACTAAGCATAAGCTCAGAAGCAGGCCATTCAGGTTTATTTACAGTGGTCAATAGATCTTGAATAAAATTTTCAAATATTGGACGGTAGTCAATTTCTTCATTTTTACTACTACACTTGGATAAAAATACATGTAAAAAACTTGATGCAGTTGACCTTGCAGCCTTGAATTTACTGATGATTAGTGTATCAGGATCGAGCTAAAAAATTTTAAAATAGTACTTCAAATACAACATTTTAAATATTGTATAATGAAATATTTATATCTTACATTAGATTGTTTATCTGCTAAATTAGATGGAAGTACAACCATACACTGTATTAGCTGTAATACAAGAGCTGATAACATTTGAATATATTCTTCAGAACTAATTCGAAATGATTTCAAACTTCGCTTTGAACTTGGTAATCTTGCCATAGATGCAAGTATATCATCTAATAATAATTTCCTGTGTTTGTCATATTTCGTGAATATCTATTAAAATGTGATTCAATTAGTACTCGATTCTTACTAATATTTTCTTGAACTTTGATATTTTAATTAAATAATTTTTTATACACAAATTATATTTATATTTTTCTATACACAAATTATTTTTAATTACCGTTGTAACTAGTTTTAATGCAGAAAGTTGGAGTTCGCTAATCTCTTCAACGAAAAATGGTGAGACTGCCATTGATGAAGTATGAAGAACAGCAGTGTCAGTAAGAGTTTGAATTTGTAAGAGCTCTGCTAATAGTGACACTACTTCTGCTAATTTACTGTATAACATTAGAACATTTTTATCACGAACTTCTTTTGGATGAGCGCGTTTCTTACGAGCACTTCCAGTGTAAGAATCATTGCTTTTTTGTATTCTGAAATAAAATATTTCTTTTTTATTAATACCTAAATTAACATTTAATATTGTAACAAACCTGTAAACTGGATCAAAAGCTGGGTATATTGTATTGTGCAATTGATATTTTGTGAACATAACTACTCTATCAATAACATCTTCTAGATAAACCTTTTTCTGCATTTTAGATGATGTTAAGACATAAAGAGTGGTTAGAGATGCATCTACAGCACGCATGACTCTTTCCATTGCTAATTCCATCCATAGTTTTCTTTCACATTCATCATCTTCCTACAAAAAAAAAAAACATTTATATTTTTTTAAATAACATTTTTATTACTATTCTTTCTTACTGGATCAGCTATAGGCGATACTTTTGCACCATCTCTAATATTTTTTTCGAGTATACTTAATAAACGAATTATTTTGCTTGAAGGAATTGAATCCATGGCACCCAATGTCTTAAGTTTGGCTGATTCACTACATAATTCTTGTAATACATATTTCGGTATTAAAGCTTCTGGTGGTGCATCGTTTTCACCTATTTAAGTTATAAATTAAAATTACTATGATTCTTAATAATGGTATTAAAATAATTATTCATTACCAAAATCTAATAATGTATCTACTTCTTCAGTGCTCTCAAATACTTTTTCTATGCATTTATTAAACTTTTGATATGTATTAGTTTCCATTAGTTCTTCAGTAGATAATTTTTCCAACATGGGTACAAGTTTTCTTTCAACTTTTCTGACTTTAGGTTTTATGGTACATTCATCTACAATATTAGTAATTAACTTTTTGTTAGAATTTTAGTTTTTTT